GCAACATGTCCTAAGAATTTTTCTATTCAACATTCATTTTGTAATTATTATTGTTGGCGATTTAATTTATATTGTTTACATAAGTGGAAAACACGCTACGTATGCGTATCTAATTATTATATGTTGTATAAAATACAGAAACATTGCGTTGGTGCTTCTGTTAATATTTAATAACCTTGGCAAACAAAAATAATAAAATCTGTAATTAATCTCGTGTTTGAAAAATACCACTGTTTATATTTCTCTGCTCCAATTAATTAAACTTGCACATTTCATCTTCTTCTTCTTCTAAAATGACTTCCTTATAACAGCAATCACTTTTGCTAAGGTCGAACTCTTATTTAATGTATGAGAAATTTTCAGTGAAAAAACCAAAAATATTTTCCAGTTGTGATTGCCAAGAGACGCAAAGTAAAATGAATTTATTTCCAACTTTAATACAATAATTTACAGCAAGGCATGATTAAATATGTACTCTAGGCGAGAAAACCATTTGGAATGTAAATATTTTTACTCAACGTTATAACTCCGCTTTCACCAATAAACCTTACCACGAAGATGTAATACACAAATAAGAAACTTTCCTTTATTATCTTAAATAAATAATATTATTTGTTTGACAATAGTCAACATAACTGAATTTTTATTAATTGGAAATTCATGAAGAGTTGTGTTAACAAAAACAGTACATTCCAGGAAGCAACACGTCAAAAACTGACTCATCTGAGACACTTTTATTCATTTTTATACTACACCTACACAGAAAAATTTCAATGATTTTACTGCCGAGTAAATATGGTTTGAAGAAATCTTTTAGTGCTTTTTTATTTCAGCACAGATAACAAAAGTAAAAACAAAAGTATGTACTTCTTTTGTGATTTACCGTTGTCGGCGAGTCATACAAAGCAATGCAAACAATATATGACATATTTAAAGATTATATTATTTAATTCTTTCAACATTTCATTTATTTACTTAACCAAATTATACGGTTTTATTTGCACGTCTCACTATAAATTCATTTCGGTGATCCTATTTCTCAATTTTTCTTTTATTTTTATTCGGTAAACACTGTAAAATTGTTGTAAAACACGCCTTATTTATTTAAACTGCCGCACCAAATTAAAACAAACAGATTTTGGACGACTCGAGTCGCGACACGTTCCACTACAAAAAAAAATATGGAATTTTATTAAAACAAAAAGGCATACAGGGTGTCTCAGCAAGTTGAAAAAGTCCATTAGTGACCTTTAAACGGTAAAATTAAAAAAAAAATATGTAGGACATTGGTTATTAGTTTCAACTATACAGCGTGTCTCAAAAATAAGTTACGATACAAACTTGTGTTTTTTTTAAATGAAACACCCTATGTTTCTTTGCATTTTTAAATGTAACTTTTTAAAACAATGTTTTTACGCTAAACTTTTATTAGTCGGTTTCGGTTAGTTTTAGTTAGTTAGTTTTTTTTGACAAAAACATGCACTTTTTAAAAATTTATTACACAAAAACTAAGACAGCTACAACAATTTTTTTCTTACTTCTGCAAAGAAGAAAGTGCAGAATTTAAAGCTGTAGCAATTTTTTAGTGTTTTGCATTTGTAATTTGCCTTAATTTTTTTTTAACTTTGCAAACGCACAACACACTAAAAAGAATTTACAACCTTATAGCTTGTACCTTCTTCTTTGCGTTAGTAAAAAGTGCATGTTTTCGTCAAAAAAACGTCTTATTTTTAAAACTAAGCAAAGTCGACCAATAAAAGTTTAGCTTAAAAACATTGTCATAAAAATCTACATTCAAAAACGCTAAGAAACATATGGTGTATTGTAACTTATTTTTCAGACACGCTGTATGGTTGAAAATAATTTTAGGCGATGGATTAGATTAGTATCTAAACATGTTCTATATATATTTTTTTTATTTTACCATTTAAAATTTAAACCTTTAAAACTAAAAAAATATTTTTATTTGTATACCTGCCACAATTTTCATAGTCAGAAACGCGTGACTAAAAATAGATGACATTATCGTTTGCAAAGAGGGTGTATAAAATATTAAAAAACCTCGAAAATACTCCCTGAATCGATTTTACGACGCCTATAAACCGCGTCGAGAGTCGCAAATTTAAACTTTCCCTCAACAGTATTCTTCGTAGTAATTATAAAGTAAGTAGAATTTTGAATACGCCACAAGAAAAAACCTTCCATTTTCAAGTACGTGCTTAAAAGTACAATGTAGGCTTAATTTAAAAGCTGAATAAAACAGAGCCGTCTGTGCAATTAATAACTCGGCGCTAGTATGCAAAAAGAAATAATATGCATTAAAAATATGAACACACAAAAACATATTTCTAAAAATATATCGGTCGTTGGTTTAAAAATATATCGTGAAAGGGAAAACTCTACTCCTCTGTGGCTGAGTTGAGAGTATTTCTTGCTGTGATATCCCCCCTGCTGAACTGCCAGATGTCATCGTGGCGACCGAGTCGAGGCTTTTGATAGGCGATGCAATCGATAGATTTAAGTGCAATTCAGTTTAGCTCCCATTCAAGTGCATGAATACGGGCTTTTTTCCACCGAATGGGGGCGAATTTACTCTTCGAACAAAGCGGCGGGAATTTGGCGCCAAAATCACACAAAAATTGAATGTTTTCAACAATCTTACCCTCCGATCTTCGATCCCCAATCAAAATGTTATAAACCAATTATCTGACTATACAAGGTGATCCATGTAAGAATTTCGGGTCTAACGTCTCTGTTATTTGCCAACAGATTTTTATGAAATTTGACTCAAAATGTAGTGGATAAAAAAATATTTTAACACCTACTTTTTCAATTTAAAATTGAGCGAAGCTATTATTATATTGTTAAGCACGAACAATGGACATTTACACAAAAAATTATCTAAATTACTCGCCTGAATCAACCGAAATTTATTTTATGTTGTTAAAATTTTCACCTAATTTTTGAAAGACTTTTATTAAAGTTAACTCTAAAACAGCGGCAAAGCCGCGACCCCCTCTATAAATTTTGGCTAAATCCGATAGTGTGAGTTCTAATCGGAGGCGTAATTATCTAAAATATTTGCAAATCAGATAGAGTGAGGCTTAGAAGGGAGCGAGCGGCAAAGCCGCGAGCCCACCATTTAAATTTTCACAAAATCCAATAGTGTGAGTTTGTACAAAACATTTTCAAAATTTTCAAAAATTTATTAAAGTTTAACTCTAAAACAATAGTTTAACGTCTAGAAGTACAATTTTGTACTATCTTGAAAACCTGTGGTACATAAATTAGACCAGCTTTAGAACTTTTAGAACCATTGACGCCAACTGTTTTAAGTGAGAGAGGCAATAAATGTCAAGTGTTAATGTCATTATCACCTGACAGTTAGGGGTGACCAAAATTCGGTCTTTTTATAGCCATCCATGTTTTTGCATTTACAGACACTTTTAACACAATTTTATTCTTTTTTCTTTGAAAGAGAAACTTCTACCAAAGACAAATTTTTGCCTATAGCATTTTAATTAGCTCCTAACAATTTTGATATAAATTTAGCATTGTTAAAAGATATGTTAAAATCACATTTTCAGGGTTAGTGTTGTTTAGTAAAGTGATATTAGTCTCCACCTACTAGATACTCGACATTTTAAAATTCGTTAGAATCCATTTAGGGGGAGACACCCTGTATACTACAGAAAACTATTTCATATGAGAAATATTTTAGTATTTTATGATTTCTCTAAAATCTCCAGATATTTTTTTACATTTCTTTGAAGAATTATAGAATTGTAAAATTTGCTTATGTCTAGTGAGTAATTTAGCATTTTTAAAAGACACCCTATATACCTATTTAAGAAAACTATTTTATATAAAAAACATTTCACTATTTCATAATTTCTCTGAAACCTCAGGATATTTTTTCCAATTGTTTAAGGTATTATAGAATTGTAAAATTTACTTATTTCTAATGAATAATTTAACATTTTTAAAACAATGTTAAAATCAAATTTTCAGAGCTAGGGTTGTTTTAGTAACGTGATATTAATCTCGACTTACTATGTAGATACTTTAGGCTCTACATTTTATATTTCGTTAGAATCCCTGTATACGTTAAAAAAACTATTTCATTTGAGAAATATTTTACATAATTTCTCTAAAATCTGAAAATATCTTTTTTAATTTTTTTGAAGAATTATTGATTTGAAATTTGCTTTATTCTAGTGAGTAATTTAGCATTTTTAAAAGACATAAGACATGTTAAAGCCACATTTTCATGATTACTCTGAAATCTCAAGAGGTTTTTTTTACATTTTTTGAAGAATTACAGAATTGTGAAATTTGCTTATTTCTAGTGTGTAATTATGCATTTTTAAACATTGCTTTAGCAAAATGATATTAATCTCCACCTACTAGATACTCTGCATTTTAAATTTCGTTAGAATCCACTTAGGGGAGAGAGAGAGAGTAATTTAGTATTTTTAAAAGACACTCTATAAACTTACTTAAGAAAACTATTTCATAGGCAAGAGAAATATTTCAGTATTTCATGATACCTCTAAAATCGTTTCTTTAAAGAATTATAGAATTGCTTATTTCTAGTGTGTAATTAAGCATGTTTAAAAGACATATTTCAGACATTGGGTTAAGGTTGTTTTAATAAAGTGATATTAATCTCCACGTACTAGATATTTCTCTGAAATCTCAAGATGTTTTTTTTACATTTTTTTGAAGAATTATATAGAATTGTGAAATTTGCACAAATTAGCATTTTGAGCACTTATGGGATACACTTTAGAAAACTATTTCAGTATTTCATGATTTTTTTCACGAATTGTAAAATTTGCTCTAGTGACGAGCAGTCCCACGGACGTATTTTCGAATAATTTTTCCACCGTGCATATAAAAATGTAGGTTTGAATGAAAATCGCGCACGTGTTTCAAGCGTGAATCGCGTCTGTTGCGCTTGCGTTTTTGTTTTGTTATAGTGAAAAGAGTCGACTTACCCGTTCCTCCTCGCGTATCATCTCAGCAATGCCTGGTTTGATTTCCATATCGTCCGAAGACGCGTGTGATACTTGCGGTTGTTGCGGAAGCGGTAACGTAAGCGGCAAAGGTTCGGTAGAAACGGAAGAAGGAAGCGGCGTCGCGGAAGGCGCCGGTGACATTTCAACCGAAGGCGGAGGATCCGGAATTTCCGTGCTCGCACTTTCGGCCGGACTGCTCAGGCTGCTGCGTTCTCCCGAAGGTCTTCGTCTCTTTTTGACACGTGGTGGACCATCACCACCTTCCTGTCGGCATTCCCACTCGCCGGTGACGTTGTTCGGTGTCGATGACGACTTCAGAAGGGTTCTAGCACTGGTGGTGAGTTCACCAGTTGGGGCGACAATGTCTTGTTCGCCGTTGACGTCGGCCAAGCCGCGAATTTTAAGACTTTCGGCGACTTTTAACAAGGGCCCGATTTGCTCCTGCGAGACGTTAATCTCACCCTTGTACATAAACTCAACGGCGGCTTTGAGTTCAGGCCATTTGATATCCCGCATGATGACAATCGGGTGTTGGCAAGGGTTTTCGAAAAAGAGCGACTGGAAATAGGGGCTGCAAGCGGAGAGGACCATTTTGTGGGCCTTGACAGAGTGGCCATCACAGGCGAGGGTGACGTCCACGAAGGACTCGCTCTGGAGGAGTTGGTCGAAGACGTTGGTCAAATTGGACTGGTAGTTGTTCCAACGGAGGCAGAACTGCTGGGGGGAGCCCGTGGTGTGCTGCATGTTGATGATGATGGTGATCACCTGCAAGTTCACAACACACACATTTTAGACAGTCCTGGCAGGGCTAGGGTTCAGAGAGAGTCACTGCGAGCACGTGCACGATACGAACGAACACACGAAGAGATACCACCGCCGATGACGATAACGAACACGACGACTGCATAGGCAATACTGACACGATGGGTACGGCAGGAGGGTCGAGGCCGCCTCCCGCGCACGCCTTACCCCCTCCAGATGACGAGACCGCCCTCACCCCACCCATACACCCACAAGACCGCGTGGACACCGCGCGGCAATCACCGCCACGGCAGCCTAATTACCCAAGATACATCGACACCTGAACCCTGGACGACACCTAAGCCCTCCTCACGAATTTAGGCACAAACTATGGCTACTTTTTTTGATTCAGATAAGTTTTTGGAAGAAAAAAGTTTCAAGATTTGAATTTCTGAATTTTCTAATGAAATAAAATTGATAACAACACTAAAAAATGCGAGTAATGCTCTAAAAACTTGAGGAAAGACAAAAATGAGAAGCGAGAAAAATTTAAAATAAGTTTAATTAAACTTTAAATCTGAAATGTTACATGAAATTTAAATAAATCAACATGAAACCTGGACGACACCTAAGCCCTCCTCACTTATTTAGGCACAAACTTCCGAAAAACTATGGCTACTTTTTTTGATTCAGAAAAGTTTTTGGAAGAAAAAAGTTTCAAGATTTGAATTTCCGAATTTTCTCAAAACCTTATCACCTCTTGAAAAATAAAATTGATGACAACACTAAAAAACACAAGATTTGCTCTAAAAACTTGAACGACAAAAATGAGAAGCGAGAAAAAATTAAAATAAGTTTAATTAATAATTTAAATCCGACATGTTACATGAAATTGAAATGAATCAACATTTTCCGTTAAAATTTTAAATGTTTAAACGAAGTGTTTGAACGGAAAAGACATCGACTCTCCTAACGAAAACTATAGTAAAACAAAAATTACAGTTTTGAGAACCATTGCATTGAATCTTTGATATAGTAGTAAAAAAGTACGGTATACTACTCTCAAAGATGTTATAACGTACCAATTAGGTGATTAATATCTCATACAAGTGTAGATGTTACTAATAAAAAATGGAGGTATAATTTACTAAATTATATAAAAATACTTTTTTGAGTAAATTTTACGCAAAAATTGAATAGTAAATTCAACTACAATGTAATTATAGGGTTTACTACTACAATTAGTTAATTTCAATTATAGCTACAATGTAGCTGTAAGACACCTAAGCCCTCCTCACTTATTATTTGATTCAGAAAAATGTTTGAGATAAGTTTTTGGAAGAAAAAAGTTTCAAGATTTGAATTTACGAATTTTCTCAAAACCCTATCACCTCTTGAAAAATAAAATTGATGATGACAACACTAAAAATTGCGAGATATGCTCTAAAAACTCGATGAACGACAAAAATGAGAAGCGAGAAAATAATAAAATTGCTTTTTTTCTATAAACTTTCAATCTAAAATGTTACATGAAATTGATATAAACCAACATTTTCTGTTAAAATTTTAAATGTTTGAACGGAAAAGGCCAAGGAAAAAAGACGACTCTCCTAACGAAAACTATAGTACCTCAAAAATTACAGAAAAATTGCATTGAATCGTTGATTGTTAATACACTAAGAAAAATGATGTGTTTGTTATTACTACATATGTAGTAGTAAAAAAGTACGGTATATACTACTCTTAAATATGTTATAACGTACCTATTAGGTGATTAATATTACTCATAGTAGATGTTACTAATAAAAAATAGAGTAGCTAAACTATATTTTTTGAGTAAATTTTACACAAAAATTGAATAGTAAATTAATTGTAGGGTTTACTACTACAATTAGTTAATTTCAATTATAACTACAATGTAGCTGCAAGATTTACCACTACAAAATGTAACGGTTGTTAGATCTATTTCTTCAATGATTATTATGGAGAGTTATTTAGAAGACTAGGGTCTCCAGGAGTTAATTCCGTTGTTTCATGGTAAGTAAATTGTAAACATCAATGTAATCAAAAAAAATATATTTTATTTTGCAAAGATTTTTAACCGAAGGATTTAACAAACACTACCGTGGATATGAAGTGACTTTATATTAAGTGAATTTATATAGTCTTGTACCCTGAACCTTAGTTAATAAAATAGGTTTAAATTTAGTTATTCCACCCTTTCATTTTTAAATATACTTATAAAATATTATATTGTATACCCTAGTAATGTAATTTTTGTATCTGTTTTTTGTAATAAATTAAAATATTAATATAATTACTGTGTATTATTATCATCTACTTCGCCTAAGTGTAGGATATAATTTAATGTTAACTGCTAATAACACTTAACAGTAGCATCTACACTATAGTGATATCTAGATAAAAAGGAATTCTGACTAATAAATTATTGAAGAAAAAATCAAAAACCAACAATTGAAGAATATGGATAAATAATACAAAGAAGAAACGATTACAATGAAATTTTCAGTTAAAATAATTAAGAATTGAGTATTCAGAAGACTTGAGATTTTCTAATTGTTTAGACATTCTTGGTTTTTTTTAGTTGGAAATTTGAACTAAAATAATTATAAAAGGTAAAAAATAACATTGATAAAATTTAAAAAATGTGGAAACTCGATTTTTTAAGTTTGTGAATTTTCACGTTCTAATTGAAACATTCGAGATTTCAATATAAGTTTGAAACTGAAAGAAATGAAATATTTTCAGTTTTGAAGTGTAAAAACATTATGTTACATCTAAACTGTAGACTTCGCTTAACATTGAAGATCTCAAGATTTAAAACAGAAAAAAAAATAGAGAATTGACAGGGATATAACAATAAATTATGGTCAAAAGATATTCAAAACAATTTCTTCTCCGACAAGAATATTTTTCCGGCTTGTCAAAAAAATCATATATTATGGATTTGAGTGGTACCAAAAGTTGCAAATTATTACTTGAAACACTTAAATTTTAATATTTATCCAAATGCCTTTACCTCTGATTTTATAAAAGAAAATTTACTTCAAGTAGGATAATTCTTTCAAAAATCCACATAGCATTAAATATAGTTTCCATAAATCATCAAATTGTTAGTTAGAAAATAAAATAATATAGGATTTTTTTTCTTCTTTGACTTCCTAGATTTCTGGTCATTTCTGTAAAGTGTAACTCTAAAGATCAAAAAATATCAGGTTTTCGCCTTAAAATTTCTTATTTCATATTTCTGATAAGAGAAAAAAATAAAAAATGTACGTATAGGTAGAAATAATGGTCAAAACGGCCAAAATGTAAATAACACGTTTTTTATTAAAGAAAACTGTGGTTATAAACATAGTTTTCACAAAACTCCAACAAAAATATAAAAGAATCGTTTGATTTTTTTTCTACTTTATCTTGAGGTTTCTGAACTTTTCAGAAAAGTGTAACTCTAAAGATCAGAAATTGTGGTTTTCGTCTCAAAACTTCTTATTTCTTAATTCCTCATTTTTCTGATAAAAAAACTGTAATACGTAGGTACATATAATAATGAAATAAACACATCGAATTGTTACTTAGAAAATGGAGTAATTTTTTTTCTTCCCAAACTTTAGACTTCTAGACATTTTTGAAGAGTGTAACTCTAATAGAGGTGAGAAATTTTCTAGTTTTAGCCTCAAAATTTATTATTCAAAATCACCAAAATGTAAATAACAAGTCAAAGATTGTTTTCATAAAATTCAAACAAAAACAAAATAAAAACGGATTCACTACAAAAATTGTGAAAAAATTGTATTCAATTGTATTCAACAAAAAAATTTGCATAGTGAATTATCTTGTTTTTGCAATTTATTCTAGATTCAGTATTTATTCCCTTAATTATTCTATCTAAAATAATCTGTAAGTAAAAAGAAGCCAAAAATACTGACAAAAGTGATTAACATTTAGAGAGCAAAATAAAATTCAGTTATAACCGATAAATAACAATTCCTCTTACAATTTTTTGCGAATACTGAAAAAGAGACTTAAAATGATGAAACTTTGTTTTCAGGTAAAAGACAGATATGAAATCTATTCATTATTGCTGTTGCACTTTCTGATTTGTGTAGTCAGTTGTGAATTTCATTCAAGGCTTTAAAAATACATAATCGCATTCTGACATTAAACGGTAATGAAGTTAGACTTGCTAAACGTATGTCTGCTTGCTCTTATCGTGTTTATTTAATGAAGCAAACAAGCATCACTTTTTAAAGCTTGAAAAAATTAAGAAATCTGTCCAACATAAAATGTTAATGATTACTATGGAGTATAAAACAAAGCGGTATGAATTAATTATTCGCTCCAATGTATCAAAATTTAATTGAGAAAGTGTCTCATTAACAGATGCTTTGAAACTGGTTATTTTTTTATCGCCGCTTCATTAAATTCTGATGAGAAATATTATTATAATTAAAATTATGTTTAGTGTGTTTGCTGAAAGAAAAACAGGATCGTGGGCACGCATTTTAATAACTTATCGATTATTTAACATATAAATTACGTTGTAAGATATTTTGTAATTAAAATGTGAGATAAAAATCTTCTTTAATAGCCCATAAATGATATTTTTGTCAACCAACCGAGTACTTGGTTGAAAATTTAATCGTTGCTATAAAGAACACAAAATTTATTATTACAACCATTACGGACAAAGTCATTGCATAAATTAAAATCACAATATGGGCTACCCTTATCTCCCCACAACAACCCTTCAAACACCACATAAAAATCCAAATAGCTCCTCAACTGGAAACTTGGCCGAAACAATAAGAAATGTTTCAAATGTAAAATAATCACCGTCTTCCGGTCAGTATGAAATTTGTTAAATACCTTTATTATTTAATTATGGAAATTTCACGAAACTAAAGATACTTATCTGCGTCAAAATGAGCTGTTAAGAACTAAAACAAGCTGTTGTGGTAATTAGAATTTTAAAATTTGGCAAAAACTGAAGTAAAATAAAA